CCTCCCCCCCCCGCCAGGTGACCAGCAGGCGCTACCCGAAGCTGAAGGAGGTGGACGACGTGCTGGGGGGCGCGGCCGCCTGGGAGAACGTGGACTCCACCGCCGGTCAGTGGGGCGGCGTGGGGGGGAAGGGGCACCTCCCGTTGAAAAGGGACCAGGCAGGAGGGGATGGGAAGGACCTCTACACCTGAGACCCTGGAAGGCTGTAAAGGGGGGGCCGTGGCTCAGCGGAAGAGCCCCTGCTTGGCATGCAGAAGGTCTCAGGTTCAGTCCCCGGCAGCGCCTCCAGTTAAAAAGGACCAGGCAGGAGGGGATGGGAAGGACCTCTACACCTGAGACCCTGGAAGGCTGTAAAGGGGGGGCCGTGGCTCAGCGGAAGAGCCTCTGCTTGGCATGCAGAAGGTCTCAGGTTCAGTCCCCGGCAGCGCCTCCAGTTAAAAAGGACCAGGCAGGAGGGGATGGGAAGGACCTCTACACCTGAGACCCTGGAAGGCTGTAAAGGGGGGGCCGTGGCTCAGCGGAAGAGCCTCTGCTTGGCATGCAGAAGGTCTCAGGTTCAGTCCCCGGCAGCGCCTCCAGTTAAAAAGGACCAGGCAGGAGGGGATGGGAAGGACCTCTACACCTGAGACCCTGGAAGGCTGTAAAGGGGGGGCCGTGGCTCAGCGGAAGAGCCTCTGCTTGGCATGCAGAAGGTCTCAGGTTCAGTCCCCGGCAGCGCCTCCAGTTAAAAAGGACCAGGCAGGAGGGGATGGGAAGGACCTCTACACCTGAGACCCTGGAAGGCTGTAAAGGGGGGGCCGTGGCTCAGCGGAAGAGCCTCTGCTTGGCATGCAGAAGGTCTCAGGTTCAGTCCCCGGCAGCGCCTCCAGTTAAAAAGGACCAGGCAGGAGGGGATGGGAAGGACCTCTACACCTGAGACCCTGGAAGGCTGTAAAGGGGGGGCCGTGGCTCAGCGGAAGAGCCTCTGCTTGGCATGCAGAAGGTCTCAGGTTCAGTCCCCGGCAGCGCCTCCAGTTAAAAAGGACCAGGCAGGAGGGGATGGGAAGGACCTCTACACCTGAGACCCTGGAAGGCTGTAAAGGGGGGGCCGTGGCTCAGCGGAAGAGCCTCTGCTTGGCATGCAGAAGGTCTCAGGTTCAGTCCCCGGCAGCGCCTCCAGTTAAAAAGGACCAGGCAGGAGGGGATGGGAAGGACCTCTACACCTGAGACCCTGGAAGGCTGTAAAGGGGGGGCCGTGGCTCAGCGGAAGAGCCTCTGCTTGGCATGCAGAAGGTCTCAGGTTCAGTCCCCGGCAGCGCCTCCAGTTAAAAAGGACCAGGCAGGAGGTGATAGGAGAGACCCCTCAGTCTGAGACCCTGGGGAGCTGAAAAGAGGGGCCGTGGCTCAGTGGCAGAGCCTCTGCTTGGCATGCAGAAGGTCCCAGGTTCAATCCCCAGAGGCATCTCCGGGTAAAAGGATCAGGCAGGAGGGGATGGGAAAGACCTCGCCTGAGACCCTGGAGAGCTGTAAAGAGGGGCTGTGGCTCAGGGGCAGAGCCTTTGCTTGGCATGCAGAAGGTCCCGGGTTCAGTCCCCAGAGGCATCTCCACTTAAAAACGGCCAGGCAGGTGGTGATGGGAAAGACCTCTGTGTGAGACTGCCAGTCTGAGTAAACATCAGTATGGACCAGGGGTCTGATTCAGTAGAAGGCAGCTTCGTGTGTAGTGTGTGGGGGGGTTGCCCGGCCGATGCCCTGCCCTGACCGCCTCCTTCTCTCCCGCAGAGCCGTGCCCCAAGTGCGAGCACCCCCGGGCCTACTTCATGCAGCTGCAGACGCGCTCTGCCGACGAGCCCATGACCACCTTCTACAAGTGCTGCAACCCACAGTGTGGCCACCGCTGGCGAGACTGAGCTGCGCATCCCACACACCTTCACCCAAGGACAGACGAGACACCGTTTCCAAAAAAGGTCCCTTTATTGACAGCCGGGCAGCCCGCTACACCCACTTGCTCCAGTTCCGCTCGTAGGGGAACACGCGGCCCATCAGCAGGGGGCAGGCAACGGTGGGCTCGTAGAAGGCAACGGGGGCCTCGCCAAGCTTGGGGCAAGCTGCTTCCTCCTCCAGCACGGGCCGCGAGAAGAGGGAAGGCACCTCCTGCTGCTTCAGGGAGAACTTCCGGATGCAGCCCAGAGCCTCCAGGCCCTGCGGGAGAAAGCGGTAGTAACAATAAAGGCTTTTAATAAACAAACAAAAGAAAGAGTAGAAACAGCTCTCTTTTGCAACGTAACATGTTGCCCAGGGCACTTCCACGCGCCATGGCTGACAGCTGGACGGACCCTGGGGCCTTTCACAAGGTGCACCGTGGGGGGCAGGGCACCACCTTTCCTCTGCCCTCCGACATGCCGTGCCTCTCTGCCCGGGTGCACCGGGAGCCTGCTACGGCCACTGACCCCCCCCCCCCCCCAGGGGGCTTTGGGGGGGGGAACCCACCGTTTCTCCCC